TATATTCTATTCTTGGGAAAAACAAAATTGAATGCTCTGACATGCATAACTCAGCTTGGCATTGAGTTTTGGCACTTTTCCCTGACCTATTCACGGAATCACAGAACTGTGTTAAAGAGACCATTCATCCATTGTGAATGCACCAGCTCTTCAAATGAGCATTATTACCTGGTGTTGGTCTCCTGGCGTTTTTTCCCAAACTCTTGCACATTATTTTTATTCAAATAACCATCCAATGCCGATTTGAATGCCTCAATTGAACCTCCCTGCACCATATTTCCAGAGAGTGCATTCCAGATCCTAACTACTCACTGTCTGAAAAGCTCTTTTGCACATCATTTTAAATCAATGCCCCTTTTGAACTTGTTCCTTGCGTGATCAGGGAGAACTTCTCTCTGTACACTATATCTAATGGATCTTCTCTCTGTTGTGTCTAACACCACTGAAATGGGGGAATTTAACTGTGCAGGGAGTTTATTGTTGAGCTTGATTTGTTGCAAAATTGAAAAAAATGCCAACATATTACCTATTAACCTCAGGGACAGCCAGGCTTACTAGGAAGACACGGTCCACCAGGTTCCCCTGGACTTCAAGGCCCACAAGGTCCACCGGGAGAGAAAGGACAAAAGGGAGATCGTGGCCTGCCTGGATTTCCTGGAATTAAAGGAGATGGAGTAAGATGAGAAAAACACATTGCTGCATGCAGAATGTATTAGCGCCCACCATCAAGTTTGATGAGAGTAACCCATTGCCAACCTGCAATGACATATAAATACTTGAAGGATAATTGCCATCACGTTCAAACAAACAGCTCAAATCTAGTTGAGCCAGAAACTGTTTTTTAAGAGGCATAGTTTTGTTACTATTCTCTGTAACAGTACTGTCGATGTCCATAGCCCACATGGACTGCGGGGGGTTCAAGAAGGTGGCTCACTTCTGTCTTCAGAAGGGCAGCCAGGGATGGGTATCAGCACAGCCAGAAACAGCCACGACCCGTAATAGAATAAGAACAAAATTCCTGCCTGTATCTGATGTTTTGGCTAATGGTTTATGCCATTATATTTGATAATACCAACAATAACTGTGCTCCAAACACCTAAAATTGCTGTGGACTACCTTAGGTTGCTGTTTGGTGGAATGAAGGGACAGATCAACTATTCTTCCTATAATTGTTAGAATGGTGAAGGCAAGGACTAATTTACAAAATTAATTTAACTGTTTTAATTTTCCAGGGTGCTACTGGTGTTCCTGGCTTTCCAGGATTAGACGGCATTCCGGTGAGAATGTACTTGAATTATTTTCCACTCATTGACTATAATGGAGCTGTGGTCATGTGTTTTTACCTGATAGACTAACCTGATCTATGCTTGCTCAGGATCTAGCCAGATGCAAAATTTTCTCATGCTAAGCCCTGTACAACAATATGAATCCTTAATTCTCACATGGCTTCATAACAACCTCATAACCAGTTTCAATTGCTTTAGGGTTTACCAGGGCTGCAGGGCCCAAGGGGCCCTCCTGGATTGGATGGTTGCAATGGAACTCGAGGAGACGCTGGCCTTCCAGGCAGTGGGGGATATCCAGGAAGACCCGGCTTGCTGGTAAGAAATCTTTGTTGGATCTAACCCTTAGGCAATAGGATCTTCACCTGTAAAAGCTGTTCCCACGTGGCAATAGAATTGAATTGAATTGAATTGAATGATTTATCATCACTTGTATTTAGCAAATAAACACAGTGACAAGTGGAGTTTATCGCTATGCTCCAGTGCCATTTTGAGTTATAGAAGATTTTAAGATATAACTAAAATATAATGGAAAGTAGAGTTCTTCCTCCCATGAGCTCTGCTCTGCTCGACATTTGGGGGGTTGGAGGTGGGGGTCCATGCCCACCAATACATCCACATCCATCCCAGGAGTCCTGCTCCAGGGCCACCATCACCACCACCGCTACGCTGCCAGGAACACCACACTGGACCTACCATGCTGCTGCCAATGCAACTACCACTCTGGTCGATCTGTGCCAGCAGTACCGCTTTGGGCCTAAAGTGTCACCACAGCTGATGGACGCTGGCCGCAGGTGCCGCTCTGCTGTTGCTGGCATCTTGGCCCTGCCACATCAATTCCTGTGATTGGGCCACCAACGTCAAAGTTGCTCATTCAATACAGCCATTGAGAAGGGAATTGAGTATATTTTTCATTCAGCAGACTAAAGGGATATGACTTTGCTGAGAAAGATAATGAAAAATAATAAGGTCTTGAGAAAGAATTTATATCAAGGGAAGAGACAACTGTTTGAATGGCTTTTTCAAATTGATTTTATTTTCTTGTATCTATTGGACATTTTTCTTTACCTCAACTCCTTTGAGAACATCCCCATTCCCCAAGGAATGTCCTCAAAACCCTAACAGTTCACAGTTTGATACTTCCACATTCTATTTGACCCTGACCTGATATTGTAATTTCATGTATTGTCTATTGAAATGACTCTACCTCAGGTACCTCCCCTGTCCCCCTGCTGATTCTAAAACCACTCTCCATTTCATTTGTCATCTCTTTGTCATCTCCATTCAATAGCTCAAATCTGTCTCAAATTATAGATGTTCTATTGCTCAATGAAACCATGAGCAACTGCACCTCATCTTTTGATTAGGCAATTTACAGTCTTCTGGTTTCAGCATTGAGTCCAGCAATTTCAAGACTGTTATGTTTGCTCCAATTTTGTTTCATTTTCCCTGCCGGTTTTGCTTTAATCCCATTTAATCCCAGTTCTGAGGAAGGGTCACTGGACCCAAAACGTTAACTCTGATTTTTTCTTCACAGATGCTGCCAGACCTGCTGAGCTTTTCCAGCAACTTTTGTTTTTGTTCCTGCTATTCACACCTCTGGACACATCCTTTGCTGCTTTTGCTCTTCCATTACCATTCCTTTTGGCCTTTCAATACTGCCCCCTTTATCAATTATTTTCTCCTGTTTTCCATGCTATCAGAGATCTTTGTTTTTATTTCATCCTCTCCTTTCACTTGCTTAAAACCCATTACATTTCTAACTTCTGAAACATCACCGACCTGAAACTTTGGCCAGGATTTTCCACTTTAGAATTACATGATGGCTTCTGAGATTGTCTTCCATCGGTTATGGCCCACAGTGAATTTTTGAGAGTTTATCTGCAAGTGAAGTCTGTGAGGATTTCAACCATGAATCAGTGGTAGCTGGCACCAGGTGGAGTGAAAGGCTCCAAGGCTACATTGAAGGGTCACTTGGGCCTTCAGCCTTCAGCCTCTGCAATCCAGGAGCTCCACAACAGGGGAAGTAATGGCCCAGTAGTGTCATTGCTAGACTATTAATCCAGAGACCACAGTAGTGTCCTGGGGCTGGGTTTGAATCCCACCAAGGCAGATGTTGGATTTCGAACTCAATAAAAATCTAGAATTTAGAGACTCATGATCACCATGAAGCTGCTGTTCTTTAAGTAGTTCACCCTCTTTTAGTGTTAATATAGTGGAGGGAGGTCTCTCTGCTAGGGTCCCTGTCTCAAAGTTATCTCTTTATAGGCAGATAGAGCAAGGAATTGCTTTTTTTTCAAACAATTGTGTAAGATGAAAGGCTTCTCAATCAGTGAGTTATATTGAACAGGGGACACAGTCACCTCACAATTAGCTGGTCCATTGCAAACAAAACAAGGTTTCTGTTTGTGGGAGAGTCTAGGACCAGAGGGCATCATTGCACAGTAAAGGGTCACACATTTAAGACAGAGATGCGGAGGAATTTCTTTTCTCCGAAGAAAGTGAATCTTTGGAATTCTTTACTGCAGAGGGCTGTAGAGGTTGGATCATTAAGTATGTTCAAAGCTAAGATAGACAGATTTTTAATCAGTAAGGGAATTAGGGGTTACAAGGAAAAGGCAGGAAAGTGGAGCTGAGGATCATTAGATTAGCCACAATCTTATTGAATGGCAGAGCAGACTTGATGGGCTGAATGGCCTATTTCTGCTCTGGGTCTGACAACACAGGAGTTTCCTATCCTTCAAGGCCCATGGTTTATTGAACAGTGCCTCTTCATGCCACCATTTTCAATCATGAATTCATCCGTACGCTGATATTTTCTTATTAAGCAGATCTGCTTCACTTCCTCCCTCTCCTTATTAAGACCCTGTTTAAAACTGACCTTTTTGATCAAGCTTTTGATCAGCTCTCCTACAGTCTCTGATATGACTCGGTCTGTTTCTTTTTACAGAGGCCTATATGATCACCCTCTATCCAGCCTCAGTGGCTGTGATTTTTAGGTGTGACGATGGTGAGCAATGGGAGGGGCCACAGCAGGAGAGCAGGAGGGTGGAGGGATTGGTGAAGCAGTGAGCAACAGAAGGAAAGGTGGGTAAAGGGACTGGTACTGAGTGCTGGCATTGCTGAGAATGTTGAGGGGTGTACGATCATTCAACAGCATGTGGCAGCAGGAAGATATGTCCAGCAACAGGTTTCAGATAAATAGTGCTTTAGAAGTGGAACTGCAGGTAGAACCACAAATATATTGAATAATTGAAGGCATCAAATAACGGTGTTGGAATTAGCATAAAAATAAAATATTACAGGTGTCACACTCCTTGGAAGTGCATGCTATATGCAGTGTTTTGCAGAGAACCATTTCACATTGAATTAGAACTAAAATTTAGAGTATGACTATCTCGTGATGTGAACAGTACTTTGCTTAAATGTCAGATAATATGAACACATGTACTATATTGCTATTCATTTTTTCATACGTGTCTTGCACCATGTTTCTTTTAGGGAATACCAGGACCAAAAGGGTCAAAAGGAGATTCCATAACTGCTACCTTTCCTTTGATGGGTCCCCCGGTAAGTGTTCAATTTAAAGCACTGGTTACTGTCCATTAATTTTCTTTACTTTCTAATGTAATAAATGTAGGAAGGAAGATGATGACAGTGTGGGGCCCTGGCTTGTACATCATTGACAGAGTGAGCTGTTAGGCTAAGTATTTGTACAGTAGAACAGTGATTGTTCCATTCCTGACACTGTTGTCTTCTACAAACCAATGCCATTTGAATCTTTGAATACTTTGAGTCATAGTTTTTTTTTTAAATTTGTTCATGTGATGTGGGCGTTACTGGCTATGCCAGCATTTTATTGCCTATTCCTAATTGCCCTAGGACCATTAAGAGTTATGAGTCAGCCACATTGCTGTGGGTCCGAATCAATGTAGGCCAGCTGAATCTGTATGGTAGATTTCCTTCCCCAAAGGGCATCAGAAAATGAGATGGATTTTTTATGACAATTGACAATGGTTACACGATTGTCATTAGATTAGCTTTTTATTCAGATTTTCTTTGAATTCAAATTCATCATCTACCATGGTAAGGTTCAAACCTGTGTTCAAGAATGTTAAACCTGGGATTTTGGATTGCTCTGAATCATGACATTACCATTTCTTTAGCACCGCCTCCCAGCAGTGACAGAATACCATCTTTAAAACACCATCATACCAGCTAACTCTATATAAATGCTACCTTTAATTTCAAGTGGATTACAGAAGACAAAAGAACAAGGTGAAAGTGAGGGACTGTTCTAGGAAAAGAACCTAGCAAAACAAAGACATAGCAATAGTCCGGGGTATGACTTAGCCATTAGTTGAAGATAAAAGGTATCAATTCTGAAACCTGTTTTTGATGTAGAGGAAGGAATGTTGGCAAAACACTATACTTCATGAGTTGGGACTTGTATTCTGTTAAAGCTGGTACTTCGCTTGTTCAGGTGGCTGTGCTAAAATATGCAGACTTTCGAGAAACCTAGAAGGCAGAAGCAATCATTTGTAAGTTTTACAGGTTTTGATTATTTAAAAACTCTGCAGTTCCGAATTTTTATTTTATGACAATAGGGTCTTCAGTTTTGTCAGACTTAATGAGGAATATGTAGCCAGTGTTTATGAATCAAGTAGAATTTATTAAAGATTTTCTAAATACTTAACAAAAATACAGTGAGGACAACACAGGAGTTTCCTATCCTTCAAGGCCCAGGGCTTATTGGACAGTACCAACACCACTGATGTCTCTGTTCTCCTGTCTTTAAAATGATGTTAGATTGAACTGTGTCTGAGAAGAATTCTATCACAGAAGCTACGGTAGCACTGTGCTAACAAGTATTGAGTTTTCAATTCTTATTAATAATTTGAAGGGTTTCTTATTCCTTATTAGGAAATAGTTCAAATTCACTCTTTCCATTCACGTAAGGTGAGGATCATTTGATATCACCGTCTACCTCTGTAACTAGAGTTATGCAAGCCAAATAAATGTCTGTACTGTATTTTATTCGCTAGGCCCCAAGTGTTAACATTAACTCGTGTGAACAAATGTCACATCCTTTTAGATACAGAGGATTGTAAGAACAATGTTACACCCCCTTATCAATAATGTCAAGTGTTGTAAACAATTCACCTCAACATTTCCAGGATATTAAAACAATTAAAAACCAACATTTCTAACAGGCCATCAGCATGTCCTTTTAAAGTGAAGGTGTTTTCTTCTACAGTTTTAGTTAATTGATCAAGTCATTTAGCAAATTTATTAATATACATGGTTCACATTTAAAGATGGATCATACTCAGTTCAAGGTGCAAAGTTCAAATGGTTTGCTCATTTCTTAAAAGCTGACATATAAACCTTGAATACATCTTGTATAATTAAAACTGAGATGATTGCTTGAAGCCAGGCTGGTTGGCACCTTTAAATGACCATAAGGTCATCAAGACACAATGGCTGCCCTTTCTGTTAATTGCCTCACTAGCAGAAGTTCAAAGTAAACTGTTTAATGAGATAACGAATGCAAAATCCTGAAACATTGTTCAGACAAATGTAGAACGCTAAAAATTAGTAGAGTATTAACATTGTACACATTGCAATATCTGAAAGGGAAGGGGAGTAAGAGGCTATAGATAATAAGTTTTGCTGTGGATTCATGGAATCAACTGGAAAGTGTCAAGTCTATGCTATTTAAGGTTTTGGAGTAGATCTGTAGCTCGGGTTGTGGGTGTTGAAGTTATCTATTCTATTTAACATACCTTTAAAAATTGGGTACAGGGAACGCAACTTACAACCCATTGTCATGGAAGTCTGACTGTTGAAAATCTGTGCTGAAGTTTATTGCAGATTTGTTTGAATAGTAAATTACTTCAATGATGCAGCTGAGTGTGATTGAAAATTTACCCCTGTATTTTTCTACTATATCACTAGCTGGCAAAAAATGAAATTATGCTTCTACGTTTAATTTCCAAAGTCCATTCTGTTCAACAATATCACTTAACTGTTTGAGAAACAATTCCAGCATTTAGTCTACAAGTAATCAGTTGAATAATTGTAAGCTGTGCAGAAGGTAAACTATCTGCTCAGAGTTTATTTGCTCAGAGCTTAATGCCTTAATCTGCTGGCTCACATACTAATAGTTCATGCATACACTTACAAATTTGAAGTTGATTATTTTTGAAATGGTATGTCTGATTTCCAACTCCAAGGAGGTCACCACAGTCAGTTTTCAGTTCCCCACTGGCAGGCAAGGCGGGCACCCAATGCCATGCAAGGGAGGCTGCTGTTCATTTACCATCTAGTTGTGAGAGCAGACGTTGGCGGTCCTGGTTTGGGACCCCCTCCCCAACCCTGCCCACCCCCCCCCCCCCCCAAGCCATCCATTCCCACCACCCCACATGTCCCCAACCTGACTCCATCCCAAGTGGAATGGCTGCATTTTAAATTAATATTTTAAATGACTGGAAGTGGGGAGTAGGCACCTCAGTGTTGAAACACTCCCTCACTTCCTTACCTCTTAATTCTTTCAAGCTGGGATGTCTCTGATTGGCCCTCCAGCTTTGTGAGCCTGTTCACCTACCTTATTAGGGCATGGGATCTGTCTTCATTCCCATTAAGGGGATTCTTCTGTGAAAGCCTCAGTAAGTGACCTTGTATCCCTGGGTGGGCACAGGATTGGGAAGCAACCTAGACTTTGATTGTTTCATAGATCATAGAATCCCTACAATGTGGAAACAGGCCCTTTGGCCCAACAAGTCCACATCGAACACTGGAGCTTCCCACCCAGACCCATCCCCCTATAACCTACCTAACTTGCACATCCCTGAACACTATGGGCAATTGGACTGTGGGAGGAAACCGGAGCACCCGGAGGAAACCCACGCAAACACAGGGAGGACATGCAAACTCCACACAGACAGTTCCGAGGGTGGAATTGAACCCGGGTCCCTGGTGCTGTGAGGCTGCAGTGCTAACCACTGAGCCACCGTTCCGCCCGCCCTACCTCTGTTGGGGGGTGGTGTCCAACCCATTGGCTCCAAATTGAGGAGCAATAGACTAAATAGGAATTGGTGCCACACCAAGGGACAGATTAATATGAAGGTACTTCAGTAGGGAATAGTTGAACCCAGAGAAGTAATGGAAAATTGTGGTTGCATACTGGGAATCAGTGAGATATAGAGGACTACAAAGATAGATTGCTCACCTATTGACTATAAATCACCGAGTAACTCTAACACAAATGCCAAAATACACAACAGAAATATTGGGCAAAGCAACTATTTGTAGGGAACAACTGTTAGAAACTGTGCACTAGTGAAAAGCTGAATGGAAAGACTACAGATTGTGGTTGAAAAGTATGGGAAACTGAATTTATGTAGCAGTTGCCTGGTTAATCTGACTTAAATTTTGTTAGAATGATATTATTGGATAAAGACTGTTGAAATATTTGAAGATTAATGGATCATTTTGTTCTCTCATCAATAGGGAGACCAAGGATTCCAAGGCCCAAGTGGCTTTCCTGTAAGTAACAAATAATTTCCATATTTTTGCTTCGGCTTTTCTTTGGCTGTATCTGCACAGTAGAGAATCAGGATCTCTCGGAGTCATTAAAAGATAGTGATGTGATGAAGGCGATAATCAGCTTATGCATAATGAAAGGAAGTTTTCAATTTGGCTGTCAATTAATCAGAGTCAGTTTTAATATATTACTTTGCCAGCACTTAATTCTTCAACATGTTAACTGCCGTGATTATACAGAATGGAAACAGTTTTTCAATATGAGGCAAAGTCCAAGCGAGGGGAGAACAACGTCAAAGCAGGAATGAAATGCAGGGAAATACTAGGAAAGGTGGTCATGGTGGAGAGAGAGAGAAAACGCTTGATGGCAGAGGGAACAGGACAAGGATCAAAACTAGATACACAGAGGACAGATCTGAGTTGTTTGGAAGCAAGGTTCAAGATTGAGCAGGATAGCATTCAGTTAGATGCACATAACCTTTACTGAAGGTGGAATTGACTTAAATAGTAACTTTCCATCTATTTACCTTTAATTTTCAGTTATGGGACTTTTGAGTACTTCTGAGTGTCTCTCCATTATGATGTTAAATCTGGCATGTTTAGCCATTGGCTGTTCTTTGTACTAATTTATATTTAACCTTCACATGGTAGACTTATTATCTGCAATAAACAATAAAGACAAGAATGAAATATCACATAGGTAAAACAGATTAAAAGCTAAATACTGCAGATATTGGAAATCTGAAACAAAACCGAAAATCACTGGAGAAACTCAGCAGATCTGGCAGCATCTGTGGAGAGAGAAACAGAGTTAATGCCTCAATGCACACTCAGTTTCTCCTACCTAAAACAGACTGTCAGAAATCATAACAGTAAAGCTGGCAATTATGCTAACTGGTACCAATGATATTAATTAAATATGTAATTAAAATCCAGAATTTACTCAGACCACAATTTTCAATCAAGTGACGAAATGTATTTTTTAGACATTCTTTGGCAGCTTATTTTTGACTGTCCTCTGAAATGGTAGACTTTGAATTACTTCTGAAGATGCAATTGTGTATTTAATCAAATCAGTTCCATGTGTGTGACTTTGCAGAAAACTGGTGGAATTAATAGAATCACGTCTGCTGGACAAAGACTTTGTTGATAATGAAAAAGACAGGAAGCATTAATTAATTGGAAACACTTAAATGAAGTGGCCAAACAATGAGCTTCAGGAAGATTGGTCATATTCAAAGGAGTTTGGACCAATTAGGCAGGTAGACTAAGTGGTAGCTGGTGGATTCACTGTTAATAAGAGTAAACTTGGAGTCTTGTGAGCAGATCTGGGCAGTACACCTTAGGAAGGATATATTGGCTTTGAAGGGAGTACAATGTTTACAGGATTTACAAGAATGAAACTTGCACTTCAGGGATTAAGTTATGAGGAGAGTTTATACAAATTAGGCCTGTTGTCTTTCGAATTTAGAAAGTTAAGGGGTAATCTGTTTGAAGCCTTCAAGATGTTAACAGAAAAAGACCGGGTAGATAAGGATAAATTATTTCCACTGAGTGGGGATTCTAGAACTAGGGTCATAGTGTGAGAATTAGGGCCAGACCATTCAGGAGAGATTTTGGGAAGTACTTCTACACAAGGGTGGGAGAGGTTTGGAACTCTCTTCCACAAATGGCAGTGGATGCTGGATCAGTTGTTAATTCTAAATCTAATGCAGATGCATTTTTGTTAAGTAGAGGCATTAAGGGATATGGGCTAAAAGAAGGGATATGGAATTAGGCCACAGATCAGTCATGATCTCATTGAATGGTGGAACAAGCTCAAGGGGCTGAATGGCCTTGACTTTTCCCATGTTTTTATAGTTAGAAAAATTGAAACTGTAGACAGCAACAAGTTTGAATCAGTACCAGTGGTTTAAAAAAAAAATGGGTGTTTACTAACCAATCATTAAAAGAAATGTCCATATAATGTGAAAGTGCCATCAAAATACCAATTCAATTCAATGTACAGGCACAGCTTAAAGTATTTCATTTTAAATCAAATTAAATCACTTTAGCTTTACAAAGGTTGTTACTGATGCCATTATTCATTTTATTTCAATTAAAAAGAGAAGTGACATTATCAGTGATTGATGATGAACAGATTAAAGGTTACTGAAGAAGGGGATCAAGTTGTGTTTGACACCCGGTAGTTTTGTTCAGAGAAGCAAAAACAGAAATTGTTGGAGAAACTCAGCAGGTCTGGCATATCTGTAGAGAGAGAGAGAGAGAGAAAGAAATAAATAGAGTTAATGTTTTGAATTCAGTGACCAGTTCATTGGATTTGAAACATTAACTGTATTTGTCTGCACAGATACTGCCAGACCTGCTGAGTTTCTCCAGCAATTTCTGTTTTGTTTCAGATTTCCAGCCCCTGCTGTTCTATTCAGAGAAGGTTTGCTGGAACATTGTTTAATGTTTAAGTAACTTTTAATTATTCTCAAACTGTTTACGAACATTAACCAGTGACAAAAAGAAATTTGTAACTAAGAAATAAATGAAACGTCACTCAAATGTCTGCAGTATCTAAGAGAAATTATATTCAACTATTTAACAGCAGGATTAGAATCGTAGAATGATGCAACACAAGAGGAAGTCATTGAATCAGACGGAGGAGGTCTTGAGGCCCATAGAGTCTGTACTGACTACACTACCCTGAGTCATTCAGCCCATTGTGTCGGGGCTGGTTCTTGAAAAGAAATGTCCAATTATCCAATTAGTCTTGCATCAAATGCAAGATATATCCTTGTCCTGTTACACTGTATCATCAATGGCAGACATAAATATTTTTCTTTTGCCCTCTCACAGGGTCTTCCAGGAGCTTCGGGTCTTCCAGGTTTCGCAGGACCAAGAGGCCCACCAGGTTTTCCAGTAAGTAGATCACTGTTAGAATGAGACGACATCACTATCTTATACAAGGGGTGCCACTGAAATAAAATACAGCAATGACAACTCAACACTAGAAGAGCAGCAAAGAAACCAGCTTTAAGTAAGATCATGGATAGTAGGAACTGCAGATGCTGGAGAATCCGAGACAACAAGGTGCAGGGCTGGATGAACACAGCAGGCCAAGCAGCATCATAGGAGCAGAGAGGCTGACGTTTCGGGCCTAGACCCTTCACCTACGCTCGGTTCGCAACAAACAACTGCACCTCCCAGTCGCGAACCATTTCAACTCCCCCTCCCATTCCTCAGACGACATGTCCATCCTGGGCCTCCTGCAGTGCCACAACGATGCCACCCGAAGGTTGCAGGAACAGCAACTCATATTCCGCTTGGGAACCCTGCAGCCCAATGGTATCAATGTGGATTTCACAAGTTTCAAAATCTCCCCTCCCCCTACCGCATCCCAAAACCAGTCCAGCTCGTCGCTGCCTCCCTAACCTGTTCTTCCTCCCACCTATCCCCTCCTCCCACCTCAAGCCGCACCTCCATCTCCTACCGACCAACCTCATCCCACCCCCTTGACCTGTCCGTCCTCCCTGGACTGATCTATCCCCTTCCTAACTCCCCACCTACACTCACCTTTACTGGCTCCATTCCCGCCTCTTCGACCTGTTTGTCTCCTCTCCACCTATCCTCTCCTCTATCCATCTTCTATCCGCCTCCCACTCTCTCCCTGTTTATTTCAAAACCCCCTTCCCCTCCCCCTTTTCTGATGAAGGGTCTAGGCCCGAAACGTCAGCCTTTCTGCTCCTATGATGTTGCTTGGCCTGCTGTGTTCATCCAGCTCTGCACCTTGTTGTCTTAAGTAAGATCATGATATTTTCATTGAAAAGATGATAAAATCCTGAAAACATGTTAATTTAGGCATTATTCTGCAGCAAGACTTAATAGTAACAAAGAGAAAAAGCAGGTGTTGATGTTTTCAGGGCTGACAAAGGACAATACAATGTTGAAAATTCTTGAGCTGGTTAAGTCAAATTTGTTACATTGGGAGTGCCTGAGTTTTATTCTGGATGGACTAAAGGTAACATTCCACAGTTTGATCCATCCCTAGGATTAATGTGCAGCATTGATTTGGAAACAGATAGTGGTAGAGAAACTCAGCAGATCTGACAGTGACTGTGGAGACAGAAACTGAGCTAGTGCTTGCATGACTCTTCTTTGGAGCTTCTTTTGAACCACAGCCCTGATCCATCAAAGTCCTCTCCTCACCATCATCAGCTGTCCATCAATCCAAGGATGGTGTCAACTCTAATCACCAGTTTCCGCTGTGAGTCTTTACACACCTGTACAGACTGATTCTCAATCTCAAGCTATTTGGGCAAATTGTCTATGACAAGGTGAGATCCAAAATGGGGAATCTGCTTCCTTTTCTTTCCTTCTCTGTCACCTGTCTATCTATTGTTTAGATGCTGTGATACAAAGCATGAAGCAGTTTGATAGATAAGCTGTGGCCATTTGGAAAAATTGGTCACAAGTCCATCTCATAATTTATGTTAATGATACCAAACATTGAAGAGAGTTTCAGAGTATCTTTGAAGAATTTTTGTGTGACTTCCTGGGCATTGCCATTGGACAGTTGATGAGAATAGGACTGGGGCAGGGGGACTGTGGTTTTTGGCACTGTGTTTCATCCATTTCTTTTGATTTTGCAAGAGTTTTGCCTGAATGCTTGTGGAGGTGGCTTCAGGAAGGACATCAGTGTTTGTTTGATAGTCCTCCCCATTGTATTAGTTGTCTCGTCTGGATTTATTGCTGCGGACATTTCTCTAGTGTTCGTGTATGTCACCGATACACAGTTGAGGTCTCACTGCAGTACGGGAATGTGTTCTTGCTCTGTACTAGGATTTTAGATAATTTCAGGAAGTTATTGTCACCTGAGACTTGCTGGTGTTGGATCTCCTTGTCAATGCTGGCCTTCAGAGAGAGGTGGCTGCCAAGTGCTCCAAATATTCCAGATTTTGAGCTTCAACATATTTGGGAGGTGGAATATTTTGCTGAAGCTTCTGAGATTGAGCAGCATTCTTCAGAATACCCACTTCTGAACTCAAGTGGAGAGAGGCTAGAAAGAATGGCCAAAAATGGACTGCCTTCCTTCCTCTGAACTGTGTTCTACACAGAACACTGATCTTTACAAGTATACTAGCTACAACACTGACTATTACTAGGATTTAGGAATTAGTCACATTATCTATCATTGGGAGCTTCCCACAGCACAGGGCATCAATGAATTCTGCCTACAATACTGATGTGTTACTGGAAGCTACTGACAACTTGAAGTCACCACCGGAACCAGCCAGATTGCCAATTCGCCTTCTGAAGTATTGCTCCTAAATGCAGTAACTTTGAGTGGCATCTTTTTGTTCTATATTTTAGGGTGGCAAAACAAGATATTTTCACAAAAGTGGTTACTTTGACAGTGGTTCTCAAACTAGGGTCTCTGGGCCCTTAAGGGGCAATGAACACTTTCTAGTCCCATTTACCAGCATTTGGCCCATATCCCTCTAAACCCTTCCTATTCATATACTCATCTAGATGTCTTTTAAATGATGTAATTATACTCCTTCACCCCAGGGAAAAGACCATAAGACCATAAGGCCATAAGACATAGGAGCATAAATTAGGCCATTCGGCCCATCGAGTCTGCTCCGCCATTCAATCATGGCTGATAAGTTCCTCAACCCCATTCTCCCGCTTTCTCCCCATAACCCTCGATCCCCTTGATAATCACGAACCTATCTATTCCTGTCTTAAATGTACTCAATGACCTGGCCTCCACAGCCTTATGTGGCAGTGAATTCCATAGACTCACCACTCTCTGGCTGAAGAAGTTTCTCCTTATCTCCATTCTAAAAGGTCTTCCCTTTACTCTAAGGCTGTGCCCTCGGGTCCTAGCCTCTCCTACAAATGAAAGCATCTTCCCAACATCCACTCTACCCAGGCCATTCAGTATTCTGTAAGTTTCAATTAGATCCCCTTCATCCTTCTAAACTCCAATGAGTATAGTCCCAGAGTTCTCAAATGTTCCTCATATGTTAAGCTTTTCGTTCCTGGGACCATTCTCGTGAATCTCTTCTGAACCCGCTCCAGGGCCAGTACATCCTTCCTGAGATATAGGGCCCAAAACTGCACGCAATACTCCAAATGTGGCCTGACCAGAGCCTTATAAAGCCTCAGTAGTACATCCCTGCTTTTATATTCAAGTCCTCTCAAAATAAATGCCAACATTGCATGTGCCTTCCTGACTACTGACTCAACCTGCAAGTTTACCTTGAGAGAATCCTGAACTAGAACTCTAAAGTCTCTTTGCACTTCAAACTTCTGAATTTTCTCCCCATTTAGAAAACAGTCCATGCCCCTATTCTTCTTACCAAAGTGCATGACCTCACACTTTCCCACGTTGTACTCCATCTGCCACTTCTTTGCCCACTGTCCTAACCTGTCCAAATCCTTCTGCAGCCTCGCCACCTCCTCAATAATACCTGTCCCTCCAGCTATCTTTGTATCATCTGCAAACTTAGCCAGAATGCCCTCAGTTCCTTCATCTAGATCATTAATGTATAAAGTGAAAAGTTGTGGTCCCAACACTGACCCTTGCGGAACACCACTTGTCACCAGCTGCCATCCTGAGAAAGACCCCTTTATCCCTACTCTCAGCTTTCTGCCAGACAGCCAATCTTCTATCCATGCTGGCACATTGCCTCTAACACCATGGGCCCTTATGTTACTCAGCAGCCTCCTGTGCGGCACCTTGTCAAAGGCCTTCTTGAAGTCCAGGTAGATAACATCCATTGGCTCTCCTTGGTCTACCCTGCTCATTACTTCCTCAAAGAATTCTAGTAGATTTGTCAGGCATGACCTCCCCATGATGAAACCATGCTGACTTTGCCCTATTTTACCATGCACTTCCAAATATTCAGAAATTTCATCCTTTACAATGGACTCCAAAATCTTACCCACGACTGAGTTTAGGCTAATTGGCCTGTAATTTTCTGTCTTTTGCCTTACTCCCTTTTTAAGCAGGGGTGTCACGTTAGTGATTTTCCAGTCCTCTGGGACCTTCCTGACTCTAGCGATTCCTGAAAGATCACCACTGATGCTTCCACTATCTCTTCAGCTATCTCCTCTAAAACTCTGGGGTGTAGACCTTGTCTATTCACCCTATCTATGCCTCTCATGATGTTACAAACCTCTGTAAGGTCACCCCTCAGCCTCCGACGCTCCAGGGAAAACAAACCCAGCCTATTCAGACTCTCCTTACAGTTCAAACTGTCCAACCCTGGCAACATCCTTGTAAATCTTTTCTGAACCTTTTCAAGTTTCACAACATCCTTCCTATTAGCAGGGAGACCAGAAGTGCAGACAGTATTCCAAAAGTGGCCTAACCAACGTTGTGTACAGCCGTAACATGATGTCCCAACTCCTATCCTCAATGCACTGACCAATAAAACCAAGCATACCAAACACCACCTTCACTGTCCTGTCTACCTGGGACACCTGTTTTCATGTAGGAATTCCATCCTTAAGATTGTAATACATTTTCAAATTTATTTTGATTATATAGTTCATAATTAGATTTATTGTTTGCACATGCTTGTAAATGTTAGGAATTTATAATTTTATCATTTAGATGGGGAATTTGCACTTTTTGATTTCTAATGGTCAGTGGTCCTTCACCAGAGAGATTTGAAAACTACTACAAAGACATGCCAGAATAAGTACAACGTTAATTCACCATAACATAGAATTTAAAAAAAAATTCTTCTATTTTGTAATATGCCTAGAATCCTCGCCTCAAAGAAAACACACAAATTAATGTTTACAAATCATCTTTCTTTCCAGGGACCTCCTGGTTTACAAGGGTTACCTGGTGACCAGGTAAGTTTTTTTAACTACATAAACAAAAACAAAAATTGCTGGAGAAACTCAGCAGGTCTGGCAGCCTCTATGGAGAGAAATCAGTTAACGTTTTGAGTCCAGTGACCCTTCTTCAGAACTGTGTAAGTTTCAAACTTGTGATCTTGAAATAACTGCACAGAAGCTGGAATCCCATTACCAAGTCACCCTTTATTCACTTGTGCACAGTACACTGGCTGTGACCAGCCGGCACGGAGTCAATCCCCAGTACAGAGGAGATTCTAAATCTTCTGGTTATAGTGATCAGCCAGGGCTTTCCTGATTGGCCCAGGTTATCGACCACAATCAAGGATCTCATGGTCAACAAGATCCAGCTGGTTCCAATCACTACAGATCCTATCTTGTAATAAGTAATGAATGCAAATGGTGCAAAAACAATATAAGAGCTCAAAGTGTAAAATGGGGTTTGGTTGATGGAAACAGTACCTGCTAATTACCAAATGTATAGATGGTAGATGCTGTGAGGGATTTTCTGGCTGGAGGAGGTGAGATGGCTCAGGAACTTTGAGAATCTTGTTATTTGAAGTTACTTTTTATATCTGAATTACTGATTTAAAACCCAGTTCAACAGGAATTTCCTAGCTCAAATGTATATTTTATCATTTTTGGCAGGGCATTGGATTTCCAGGACAAAAAGGCGAGAAGGTAAGGGCCTAAATGCTTCGTTGTATGAAAGTGTTTTCATTGATAATGAAATATTCAAAGAAAAATATTCCCTTTGAACATTTCTTCCACTTTATATCTTTTGAAGAGGCCAAGGGCAAAGGGCAGAATATAGCCTTCAAATCAGTAAAGTTTAGGATATTGAAACAATGTTATGAATTTTTATCGTATAGCCCTAACCGATTGGATATTATAGGTATTGTTCAGATTGTTGCAATGTGATTGGTAAAATGGCCAATAGTTTGATTGTGGAATTATTAATGTAGTATTTAATTCCTACCCAATTCACTCAGCATGATTCATTAAATATTTCAACCTGGGACTGCAAATTATCAGTTTTATTTCATATTGCAGCTTGTTTGAAATTATAGACATTAATGGGTGAGGTTGCTGAGCTTGCTAAAGTCTGTTCGCAATAGCACTCCTGCAGCTTATTATTTCAGACAACATTGATTTTGTGTTCTTCTGCTCCTTGTCCTGTGGAATTTTGATGATGGAAAATCAAAAACGTTATTATTTAAACTGATAAAAGTCAACCTTGGTCTAAAAAGATGTATTTTTGAATGTGAAGGTTTTGCAACAAGGTCACTGTTTTAGATCTTTTAAACTTTGTTTTAGAATAGACAAAACCACAGTAGAGAGATGATAAATGTTTGTCTGTTCAGTGTCTCAGTCCAGGATCAAGGACGAGATAGATTCAAAGAGACCTTCCAGCAGAATTAAGCGTGGGTGAAACTTCCTTGTTTGTATCTTACAACCTAGTCCTCAATCTTTCCAAGATTTCCTAATCAACCTGTTCAGAGAATTTTATTGCACACCTCAGTAGTAGGTGGGACTTGAGTCTGGGTGTCCTAGGCTAGAGATTGGGACACTACCACTGCACAAGAGCACCTCCCCACCTTAAAATCTTTTTGGAGCTGTAGCAGATCATTCTTACTGTTCTAAAGTGATGGCAGTCGGTCTCTTATAGCACATTCTACAGTGCTCTCAACAGACAGAGGACAATAGAGGAGCAGATATGTTGGCAAATCACAGAAAGGTGTCAGAGAAACGGGTTATAATATTAGGGGATTTCAACTTTGTGAGCATTAACTGGGATTGCCTTAATGTGAAAGGATTAGATGGGGTGGAATTTTTAAAGTGCATCCGGGAGAGTTTTTAGTGCCAGTAAGTAGATAGGCCGACCAGGTACGAGGCAGCGCTAGAACTAATCCTGGGAAGTGGAGCTGCTCAAGTTGTTGAAGTGTCAGTGGGTGAACATTTTGGGGATAATGACCATAACTCTAAGTTTCTAAAGTCATTGTGGAAAGCGATGAGGATAGTGCAGAGGTTAAATGTCTAAATTGTGGAAGGCCGATTTCTATATCATTAGGCAGGATTTGGCAAACATTGACTGGGAGCAACTACTTGCTGGTAAGTTTACATTTGGAAAGTCAGAATCTTTTAAAAAGTGGTATAGTGAGAATTCAGGGTCAGTATATTCCTCGAAGAGTGAAGGGCAAGGGCGGCAAAGGCAGGGAACACTAGATGTCAAGGGGTAGCAAGTGTTTGATGAAGAAGGAAGCACATGTCAGGTACAGTACATTAAAAACAGGGGAGGCCCAAAAGGAGTGTAGAGAGGAGAGGAGAGTGTAGTTAGGAGGGCAAAGAGGGACCATGAAATATCTTTGACAGATGTGATTAAGAAAAACCCCAAGGCATTTTATAATATAAGAGTAAGAGGATTCCCAGGGAAAGGGTGGGATCTCTTTGAGACCAAAGGTGCGATCTGTAGGTGAGGTATTAGATGAATATTTCTCATGTGTAGCCAGGGATTTCAACTGCGTTGATAAGGTTCTAGAACATGTTAAGATTAATAAGGAGGTGGTATTAAATATTTTGGTAGGCATAAAGGTGCATAAGCCCCTAGGCCCTGATGAGATGTATCCCAGGCTGCTGTGGGAGCCAAGGGAGGAGACTGCTGGGGCCCTGGCAGAGATACTTAATACTTCACTGGTCACAGATAAAGTGCCAGTTGACTGGAGCATGGCTAATGTGATCCCTTTGTTCAAGAAGGGCAGCAGGATAGGTTGGGCAATTACAGACCAGTTAGTCTGATGTTGATGGTAGGAAAATTACTGGAAAAAGTTCTGAGGGCCAGGGTTAATCAACATTTGGAAAGGCAGGAAACAAAACAGAAATTTCTGCAAAAGCTCAGCAGGTCTGGCAGCAGTTCTGAGGAAGGATCACCAGACCGGAAACGTTAACTCTGTTTTCTCCTTCACAGATGCTGCCGGACCTGCTGAGCTTTTCCAAAAATTTCTGTTTAGTTCTTTCGTTTTTTATTTGGAAAGGCAGGGATTGATAAGGGATAGTCAGCATGGATTTGTTACAGGGAGATCCTGTCTGACTAATTTTAAATGAGTTTTTTGAAAAGGTGACTAAAAATATTGATGAGGCTAGTGCAGTTGATGTGGTTTATGTGGACTTCAGTAAGACCTTTAACAAGGTCCCATGTGGAAGGCAGGTCCAAAAGGTAAGAGCCTTTGGGATCCAAGGCAAGTTGGCAAACTGGATCCAAAGTTAGCTTGCAAATAGGTGACAAAGAGTGATGTTGGAAGATTGTTTTTGTGTTTGGAAGCCCATCACCAGTAGTGTATCACAGGGATCAGTGATGGGACCATTGCTGTTTGTTATGTACATTAATGACTTGGATGTGAATGTACAACGTATTATTAGTAAGTTCATAGATGACAGAAAATTGGTTATGTTGATGGTGAAGAGGATGGTCTCAGGCTACAGTCTGATATTGATCAGCTGGTAAATTGGGCAGAGCAATGGCAGATGGAATTTAATCCTGATAAGTGTGAGGTGATGCCCTTTGCGAATTCTAATAAGGGAAGAACATACACAATGAATAGTAGGCACCTAGAGAAACAAAGAAACCATGGTATACTAATCCATAGATCCCTGAAGGTGCCAGCATAGATCAACAGGGTGGTGAAGGAGGCATACACGATGCTAGATAACAAGGTTTAAAGCTGGATGAACACAGCAGGCCAAGCAGCATCAGAGGAGCAGGAAAGCTGATGTTTCGGGTCTAGACCCTTCTTCAGAAAATCCTACTATCTCTATACATGATGTGAGCCTTCATTAGCCAGGATATAGAATATAAAATTAAGGAAGTCGTGTTACAACTTTATAGAAGGAGATAGCAAGATCTGAAGGTGCTGGAGTCAGAGTCAACACAGTGTGGAGCTGGAGGAACACAGCAGGTCAGGCAGCATTAGGGGAGCAGGAAAGTTGACGTTTCAGGTCCCAACCTGAAACATTGACTCTCTTGCTCCTCTGATGCTGCCTGACCTGCTGGGTTCCTCCAGCTCCACACTGTGTTGACAACTTTATAGAATGTTGGTTGGGCCACAGATAGAACACTGTGTGCAGTTCTGGTCGCCACAGTATTGGAAGGACGTGATTGCACTGGAGAGGGTGCAGAGGAGATTCACCAGGATGTTGCCTGGGATGGAAAGTCTCAGTTATAAGGAGAGACTGGGTGGGTTGGGTTTGTTTTCCCTGCAGCAGAGGAGGCTGAGGTGGGATCTGATTGAGGTATACAAAATTATGAGAGGCATAGAGAGAGTCAATTGTGAGAATCATTTCCCGATGACAGGCATGTCTAAGACAGAGGGTTTAAGCTTAAGGTGAGGAATACGTGGTTTATAGGGAGCTGAGGAAAACCTTTCTCATCCAGAGTGTGGTAGAAATATGGCAAATGCTGTCTGAGAGGGTGGTGGAGACAGGTACTCTCATAACATTGGAGAAGTATCTGGATGGGGACTTAAAATGCGAGAGCATATTAGGCTACGGACCAAGTGCAGGTAAATGGGATTAGTGTAATTTGGTGTTTGTTGGTCGGTATAGACTAGGTGGGCCAAAGGGCCTGTTTCTATGCTGGTTGGCTCAATGACTCTTTGACAGTGGTAGTGTCTCTACCTCTGAGCTAGAAAGGCTGGGTTCAAGACCCACCTGATCCAGAGGTGTGCCATAACATCTCTGGTCAGAGTGATTTAAAAAAAAACCTGTAAACATGGAGCCTGCAGCCATGATTCTGATGGAATTGGTTCAGTCATCAGTTAATGGAAGGTTGTCAGTATATTGCTAGCTGTTTGTCATATCCAACTATAGACCATGCAATGAATTTAATTAAATCAAATTCATTTTATTTTGCAATAGTTATGCCATGCAAAGCTAAACTAAGAATTTCAACGTCTTACTGTGGTATTTGTGAACTCTGTATCAATAGCATCGTCATATCCTTTTATGGTGGGAATGTTGGATGTTAGCCTGACATTATTATTACTTATACCCCGGCTTATTCCCCCTTCTCAACAGGGTGAACAAGGTGACCCAGGCCATATTGAACTCATTGAGCCTCAGGAAGAAATTTTCTATAAAGGAGATCAGGTATAAGCCACAACAAACATACTTTTGATAACCGTGTTGCGATGTGGTGAGAGTGATTCTCAGTTACTTTAACTGTTAAAGGCCATTTGCACAGCTATCACAACAGTGAGGATGTAGGTACCTTTTTCATTAATGTAAAATGTTGCGAATAATCAGTCACAAATTGAAACAGGACACTGGCCAGTATAATGCTGCAAAACATTGACCCAATAAATAAATCAAACCTTGGTGTAAAATATTGCTTTTCTTTCAGGGTGAGAAAGGCCCTCTAGGGCCTCCTGGACCTATTGGATTTCCTGGACCTTCAGTGAGTGCAAAGCATTTTCCTGCTTCAATTTGTTGTACTTGAGTTTCCTCTTACCATTATTGTGAGAGTATCGTCATCTGTTCGGTATAGAATTTGCAGCTACATGGAAAAATCTGTGTTGGTTAGGAAGAGTCAGTGTGGATTTCTTAAGGGGAAATAATGTTTAATGAACTGGCTGGAGATTTTTGAAGATAACAGAAAGGCTCAATGAGGGTAATACTATGGATGTGGTGAACATGGGTTTCCAGAAGGTGTTTGATACAGTGCCACACAACAGACTTCAGAGTCATAGAGTCCTACAGCATGGAGACAGGCCCTTTGGCCCAAACTCATCTATGCCGACCAAAATGTGCATCCATGTTAACCCCATTTCCCCGCACTTGGCCCACATCCTTCTAAACCTTTCCTATCCATGTATTTGTCCAAATGCCTTTTAAATGTTGTTAACATACCCGCCTCAACCACTTCTGGTCATTCATCTATGTGTGTACCACGTTCCGTGTTTAAAAAAAAAAAAAAAAAGTTGCCCCTCAGGTTCCTATGTATTCTTTCCTCTCTTACCTTAAAATGATCAACAGGTCTGGCAGCATCTGTGAAGAAAAAATCAGAGTTAACGTTTCGGGTATGGTGACCCTTCCTCAGTTATAATCCAGTTGTTATCTTGGAATGATTCTTGGATCCACACTGGCTGGAAAGGGGTTTAGAGTAAGGGGTTTGGGGATCATACCTAGTCAAGGCTGGGTTTTAGATGTTGGTGTGCTTTAATATGAAAAGCACTACTTGGTATGGAAGTGTAAAAATGTTTTATCCTGTGATATTTATGTGGCCTTGTTAAATGACACTGTGTGTTCTGCATGACTGCACCTTTGAGTGGAATGTAACTTGATATGGTAATGCACTTTTGAGTCAGTCTGAATGGGGTGGCTAGTGCACATAAGTCTGTAGTTAATATGACATGCAATCATGAACAGTGATGCCACACTTGGAATATTGTGTTCAGTTCTGGTCATCTCATTATAGGAAAGATGTGGAAGCTTCAGACAGTCGCCCAAGGCTGGAATTGAACCCGGGTCCCTGGCACTGTGAGGCAGCAGTGCTAACCACTGAGCCACTGTGCTGCCCCATTGACAGGATGCAGAGCTGGGCAAAGAAGTGGCAGATGGAATTCAACCCAGAAAAGTGTGAAGTGATTCATTTTGGAAGGTTGAATTTGAATCCAGAATACAGGGTTAATGGCAGGATTCTCCGGCAGTGTAGAGGAACAGAGGGATCTTGGTGTCCACGTCCATAGATCCCTCAAAGTTGCTAACCAAGTTGATAGGGTTGTAAAGAAGGAGTATGGTGTGTTGGCTTTCATTGGCAGGGGAATTGGGATTAAGAGCCGCAAGAGCTGCAGCTCTATAAAACTCTGGTTAGACCACATTTGGAATATTGTGTTCAGTTCTGGTTGCCTCACTATAGGAAGGATGTGGAAACTTTAGAGAGGGTGCAGAGGAAATTTACCAGGATGCTGCCTGGACTGGAGGGCAGGTCTTATGAGGAAAGGGTGAAGGAGCTAGGGCTTTTTTCATTGGAGTGAAGAAGGATGAGAGGTGATTTGATTGAGGTTTACAAGATGATGAGAGGCATAGATAGAGTGGATAGTCAGAGACTTTTTCCCAGGGCGGAAATGACTATTACGAGGGGGCATAATTTTAGGGTGATTGGAGGAAGGTATAGGGGAGATGTCAGAGGTAGGTTCTTCACACAGAGAGTGGTGAGTGTGTGGAATGCGCTGCCGGCAATGGTAGTGGAGTCAGATACTTCAGAGACTTTTAAGCGACTCTTGGATAGGCACATGGAGGATAGTAAAATGTAGGGTATGCAGGGTAGATTGAGCTTAGTAGGATAACAGGTCGGCACAACATCGTGGGCCGACGGGCCTGTACTGTTCTATGTTCTATGTTCTACATGCAATTACGAGTAATTATTAATAGACATGAATTACGATATATCAATAACAAACAGCAATGGGCCCATCACTGACCCCTGAGGCATACCAGTAGTCACAGGCCTCCAGTCTGACAAGCATCCTTCCACTATTACCTTCTACTTCCTACCATCAAGCCAATTATGTACCCAATTTGCCAGCTGTCTCTGGATTCTATGCGATCTAACCTTCCAGAGTAGCCACGTAGAATCTTATCAAAGGCCTTACTGAAATCCATATAGACTACGTCTACCGCCTTGCCCTCATCAACCTTCCTGGTCACTTCATCAAAGAACTGTAACAGATTTGTGAGGCATGATCTCCCACACACAAAGCTGTGCTGACTACTCCTAATCAAACCCCTGTCTTTCTTAATGCATGTATGTCTTATCCCTCAGAGTCTTCTCAAGTAACTTACCTACCACAGACATTAGGCTTACTGGTCTATAATTCCCTGGTTTTGCTTTGCAGCCCTTCTTGAATAAAGGCCCAACATTCGCTACCATCTGGTCTTCTGGGACCTCACCCATGGCTAACAATGATGCAAATATATCAGCCAGGCCTCCTGCAATTTCTTCTCTCGCCTCTTGCAGGGTTCTTGGATATATCTGATCTGGACCAGAAGATTTATTCTCCTTCATACATTTTAATACTTCCAACACCTCATGTACTGTGATACGGACAATTCTTAAGATATAGCCACTAACTTCCCCCAAATTCCCAAGTCTCCCTGTCTTTCTCCACGGTAAACACAGAGGAGAAATATCCATTGAGGACCTCGCCCATCTCCTTTGGTTTCACACATACATGTCCACTTTGATCCTTGAGGGGTCCAATTCTCTCTCTAGTTATTCTTTTTCCTTTAATATATTTAAAGAATCTCTTTGGATTCACCCTAATCTTCTCAGCCAAAGCTATCTCATGCCCCCTTTTTGCCCTCCTGATTTTCTTCTTCAGTAAACTCTTGTATCCCCTGTATACTACCAGGGATTCCCTTGATCCCAGCTGCCTGTTCCTGAGCTATGCCTCCTTTTTTCTGGTCAAAGCCTCAATATCTCTTGTCATCCAGGGTTCCCTACTCCTGCCAACGTTGCCCTTCACCCTCACAGGAACATATAGACTCTGAACTCTAGCTATCACACTTTCAAAGGCCTCCCACTTGCCAGAGGTGCCTTTACCTGCAAACAAACTTCGCCAATCAACCACTGCAAGCTCCTGTCTAATTTCATCAAAATTCACCTTGCTTCAATTTAGAACTTGAACTTGTGGTCCAGTTTTGTCCTTCTCCATAACTATTTTAAAATTAATAGAACTATTGCCATGAATCCCAAAGTGCTCCCCCACTGTCATCTCAGTCACCTGTCCTGCCCTATTTCCCAAGAGTAGGTTGAGTTTTTGCCCCTCCCGAATAGGACCCTGTATATACTGTTTGAGGAAACTTTCCTGAATATATTTAACAAATTCCATCCCATCCAAACCCTTAACACTATGGCGGTCCCAGTCTATGTTAGGAAAATTAAAATCCCTGACTATGGCAACCCTATTTCTCCTGCAAGTCTCTGCAATCTCCCTGCATATTTGTTCCTCTAATCCGATTGACTATAGTATAACCCCAGTAACATCGCCATCCCCTTCTTATTTCTTAGCTCCACCCACAAACTCTCACTGGATGATCCCTCAGTTATTTCATCTCTGACTACTGCTGTGATATTCCCCTTAATCAAAAATGCAACTCCCCCTCCCCTCTTTCCTCCAACTCTGTCCCACCTAAAGCACCTGTATCCTGGCACATTAAGGTGCCAGTCCTGTCCCTCCCTTAGCCATGTTTCTGTAATGGCTATAATATCCCAGGCCCACGTGTCTGTCCACGCTCTGAGTTGATCGGTCAATTTGTGCGGCTAGTTCTACACCATGAAATAAAAGGGACAGTAGCAACATGGAAACAAAATCGTCTTAGTGACAGGAAGCAAACAGAAATGGTCAATGGAGAATTTTCTGTCTGGAGGAAGGTTTGTAGTGAGTTCCCCAGGGGTCAGTATTGGGACCTGTGCTTTTTCTGATGCATAATAATGATCTGGACCTTCGTGTGCAGAGGGCAATTTCCAAGTTTGCAGATGACATTAAACTTGGAAGAGTTGTGAACTGTGAGGACAACAGTGTGGAACTCCAAAAGGACATTGACAAGTATGAGGGGTAATTTTTTTACACAGAGGGTGGTGCGTGTATGGAATGAGCTGCCAGAGGAAGTGGTGGAGGCTGGTACCATTACAACATTTGAAAGGCATCTGGATGGGTATATGAACAGGAAGGGTTTAGAGCTGTATGGGCCAAATGCTGGCAAATGAGACCAGATGGGATTGGGCTGTCTGTTGGCGCAGATGAGTTGGACTGAAGGGTCTGTTTCTGTGCTGTATAACTCTTTGGTGGAGCAGGCGAAGAGGTGCCAGATGAGGTTCAATGCTGAGAAGTGAGAGGTGATGGACTTTGGTTAGAAGGGCAGTGGTGGACAATACAGAATAGAGGGTACAATTCCAAAGTGGGTATAGGACCTGGGTGTACGTGTGCACAGATCATTGAAAGTGGTAGGACAGATGGATAGAGCAGTTAATAAAGTATACAGTACCCTCAGCTTTATTAATAGGGCACAGAGTATAAGAGCAAGGAAGTGATGTTGATCTTGTGTAAGACACTTGTTAGACCTCAGCTGGAGTATAGTGTACAGCTGTGGACATACATTATAGGAAAAATGTGAACACATGGGGAGAGAGTGCAGAAGCAATGTACAAAAATAGTTCCCAGAATAAGAAACTTCATTTATGAGGATAGATTGCAGAAACAAAAACAGAAATTGCTGGCAAAACTCAGCAGGACTGGTAGCATCTGTAAGGAAAAAAAGTAGCGTTCACATTTTGGGCCCAGTGACTCTTCATCAGGACTGAAGAAATTGTTCTCCTGAGGGAGAAGAATGTTGAGAGGTAATTTGCTTGAGGTTTTCAAAATCATGAGTGGGCTGGATAGAGCAGTTAGGGAGAAGCTGTTCCTGCTCGTAAAACAAAATCAAGAACAAGAGGGACATAGATTTAAAGTGATACCAAACGAAGCAAAGTGATATCAGAAGAAACGTTTTTCAGCAAGTGAGTAGTTATGATGTGGAATGCACTGTCTGGTAATGTGGCGGAGGCCGGTTCAATTGGGGCATTCAAGAGGGCATTGGATGGGGATTATTTGTCTTGAAGTAGATTGCAAGGGTATGGGGTAAAGTCAGGAGATTGGTGCAAGATAATGATGTTGATTTAAGGAGTCAGTGCATGCACAATAGGTTAAATAGCTGGCTCCTGCCCTTAATAATTCGGTGATTGTGTGAATTCTTTGTGAGTAACGAGGACTGCAGTGGATCGAGAACAGGGCTCGTTACCATCCTTTCTGGGTAACTGCGATGGAAAATAAATACAGCCTCAGCAGCACCTTCGGAATTAATATTAACTACTATAAACTGTAGCATTCTTCCAAAGGGAAAATGAAAGATGACTAAAAGAAAAGAGTGATGAGATGAGAGCTCTATTCTTATTATTTAAGTTTACTTTTAATTAAATCTCTTGTTTCAGTCTGTAGAATGTAAAGCTTTTAATTTTAAACTGTATTTCCTAATAAATATATTATATTGTACATTTAAATAATTAAAACCCAGATGAAATCTAATTTATTTTCTCTTTATTCACATTTAGGTTTTCCCCACAGCTCCTGGTGAAAAGGGTGAAAAGGGTATTATTGGTTTTCCTGGCAATCGGGTAAGGAGAAATGCTAGTTGATGTACAAATACTTCCTTTCTATTACAGAACTCTTTCCAGTAGAAAATACATAGAGGTTTTGTGGTGTGTAAAAAGTAAATAGTCACCATTGTCTCACTCTCTCATCAGAGACGACTGGTGGTGGTTTAATCTGAGGGTCACCTTGGGCAAGGAGAGAGGTTGAGAAGGAGAGTCCTCCAATGATAACCTTAGCTGGTGTGGGAATGGTACCCACACTGTTGGCATCATTCTGCATCACAAACCAGCCATCCAGCCAACTGAACTAACTAACCTTCACTATGTCCAAATTAAATTGCAAAGTGTTTCAACAGTATTGATGGGAAAGGAGAACACAGTGTTTCAACATTTCTGGAAAATTTTCATGAAAAGTTCCAAATAATGACTGACTGCACAAGCCATGCAAAAAAAAAGTGTCCAAACAGGTCATGCATAAACAAGGAAGATAGGATCAGGAATAGGCCATTGAACCCATTGAACTGGTTCTGGCATTCAGTTGGATCAAGTCTGATCTGTAATTTAACTCCACCCATTAACGTGAGTTTTGTGACACTTCAATACCCTAACCTAACAACATTCTCAGAACCTTAATTCAGAATTTTTCAACTGACCTAGCAACAGTGTGAAGAAGTGCTTCTTGGTTTCAACTTCATTCTGAAGTTTTCCACTGGGGAATAGTTTATCTACCCTAACCCTAACCCTATTACAGGAGATATCCAGCATTTCTGTCCTGGTACTTTCCAAGGGATCCTTGGAGAATCATGTGATGTTGGTGCCTGGCTTGGTCAGGTCTCTTGGAGTCCTATCATTGGCAGTGCATGATGCTGCTTCCTGCAGCAACCACCAGCCCCAAACCCCGCAAATGCTATCAGGAAAGCACATTCCTACACTGGATGCACCCCCTGGATTCACAGCACACAGGTGACTGCTACATTGTTCTAGCTTATCCGATGCCACTTTACCAGAGCCATCTGACACCGATACTACAGGTTCTGCAACACCATGGAGAGAGTTGCTCATCTCTACATCAACCACCAAACTCTGATGATTGCACAATGTTCAGCACCATTCATGACTCCTTAGATACTGAAGCAGTCCTTGTTCAAATGCAATAAGATCTGGACAACATCCAGGCTTGGGCTGACAAATGGAAAGCAACATTCATGCCACACAAATGCCAGGCTATGACCATCTCCAAAAAAGACAATCTAACCACCACCCTTTGACATTCAATGGTGTTACCATCACTGAATCCCCCACAATCAACATCCTTGGGATTACCATTGACCAGAAACTCAACTAGACCCATTATATAAATACAGTGGCTATAAGAGCAGGTCAGAGGCTAGGAATTCCACAGTGAGTAACTCACTTCCTGACTCCCCAAAGCCAGATTTCCATCTACAAGGCACAAGTCAGGAGTGTGATGGAGAACTTCACACTTGCCTGGATGGGTGCAGCCCCAACAACACTCAAGAAGCTTGACACCATCCAGGACAAGCAGCCGGCTTGATTGGCACCACATCCACAAGCATCCACTCCCTCCACCACCAACGCTCAGTAGCAGCAGTGTGTGTTATGTACAAGCTGCACTAAAGAAATTCACCAAAGATCCTTTACAGCACATTCCAAACTCATAATCACTTCCATCTAGAAGGATAAGGACGACTTCTCAAGAACATCTAGGGATGGGCAATAAATGCTGGCCCAGCCAGCGACGCCCACAGCCCATGAGTAAATCGAAAAAAATGGCTACTCCATTCCACATGACACTGCAGCAAGGCCTGATGGCAAGTGTTGGAGACAGTTATTAACTTGAACATAAGATATAGGAACGGCATTATAATATGCGGCCCACTGAGATTGCTCCACCAATTGATCATGGCCGATATGTTTCTCAAACCCATTCTCCTGCCTTCTCCCCATAACCTTTGATCCCCTTACTAATCAAGAATCTACATATTGCTGTCTTAAATACATTCAGAGACTTCGCCGCCAAAGCCTTCTGTGGCAATGAGTTCTACAGATTCACCACCCTCTGACTGAAGGAATTCCTCCCCATCTCAGTTCTAAAGGGTTATCCCTTCACTCTGAAGCTGTGCCTTCGGATCCTAGTCTCTCCTATGAGTGGAAACATCTTCTCCATGTCCACTCTATCCAGGCCTCTCAGTATTCTAAGTTTCAATCAGATCCCCCCTCATCCTTCTAAACTCCAAATTTACTAACCTCAGTTGAGCCCTCCCCACTTGTATTTTTTCTGATAACTTTCCATGCTATTTAACCCACCCCCACCTGCTTTTAAGTTTAAAGCTGTAACCACAGTCCTAGTTATGTGATTCGCCAGGACTCTGTTTGTAGTGTGATTCAGGTGGAGCCTGTCCTATTAGAACAGCTCCCTCCTTCCCCTGTCCTAGTGCCAACGTCCCATGAATTCAAGACAACAAGGTGCAGGGCTGGATGAACACAGCAGGGCCTAGGGTCTAGGCCCGAAACGTCAGCCTCTCTGCTCCTATGATGCTGCTTGGCCTGCTGTGTTCATCCAGCCCTGCACCTTGTTGTCTCGGATTCTCCAGCATCTGCAGTTCCTACTATCTCCCATGAATTCAAACCGGGTTCTCCCACACCAATCATTGAACCACATGTTTACCTCTTTAAACTTGTTGACCTTGTGCCAATTGCTTGTGGCTCAGGTAGTAATCCAGATATTACTACCTTTTTGGTCTGCTTTCTAACTTAGCTCCTAGCTGCTCATAGATCTGAGCAGAACATCTTTCTTCTTTCTACTTATATCATTGGTATCAACATGGACCATGAGAACTGGATCTTTCCTGTCCCACTCCAAGTTCCTCTGAAGTCCAGATGAGATATCCTGAATTTGATTTGGTTTGTTGTAGTCACATGTACCTAGGAAAAGTGAAAAGCTTTGTTTTGTGAGCATTAGGGGCAGATCAAGGACATACAGATCATAGGGTGCTAAGAGCGAGGCATAATGTTACACTGCATAAGAGGTGCACAAACCGGGGCATCATGCAGGCAACACAGCCTTCGGGATTCTCGATTCTGGCCACAGAGCAGAGTCTGTTCCCCTGACTATACTATCTCTGATTACAAATACTTTTCCCTTCTTTTCCCCTGCCTCTGGAATGGCTTCCTGTACCATGGTGCTATGGTCAGATTGTTCAACACCCTACAGCCCCCACTCTTAGCCATACAGGCAGCAAGAATCTCAAACAACTTCACCACCTCCAGGGATATGGAGACCAGATTCTCTCTCTGGCTTGCTTGTATTCATGAAACATCAGCTGTAAGGCTACTGCTGTCCCCAAAACCCCGTTCTCATTGCCTCAAAAATCCACCGTCCACATCTGTAAATATCCAGTATTTATGATGGGCATCCTCACACAGATGTTCCACCACCTGCTCATTCACATTGAGGTGCCTACATGCCATGCCCAGCTGTGCATGCTCAATACAGTTTTCAATCACCAGAGCATTTGGTGTTTCTGGTACTGAATCTGTCCAGCTTCCCACTCATCAGCTCATGGAATATCCAACTTGGATAATGCTTCCTTCCTCTATAGCGTCCTGAGAACATTTATGAAGGAGCCTCTGCCAGGGGTTTGACTAAAAGATCCAATTTTCTCTGCTGATGCCTGAACCTTCAACAATACCACGCCTGCTTTGGCCTCCTTTGTGTACATCATCACTTACAACTTCTCCACCACCCACTCCATCTCAGCCAGGGGTCTTTGTTCTTCAGCTGCCCTGACTTGATACCTGTGCTGTGAAGTTGTGCCAACTACTCCAGAAATGTAACATGTGATTTAAACATATAGGATGACCCAAAGATCATAAAGCAGTGATTTCTTATTCTACTGAATCAGATCTTAACAAACATGAAGAAACAATAAAGCTTAACTAGGAAAGCCAAATATTTACATGGAATTAAGCCCATTTTTCACGTTTGGTTGAGAAAATCCTTTGTCTGTCTCTGCTACCCTTTGAGGCCACTTTCTGAAAAAGATGCCCCTTCATCCAAAGATTGTCTGCCTGACTGCTTGTGCTTCCCTGATTAGGGTTCTCCCTCACTGTCGCCACTTATTGCTGGAGGCCCCAATACACCAGTAAATTCCGTAACCATATTAAAGACTTCAATTATATAATCCTTTTCATCTTGACCACTCGAGAGTACAAGCCTTGTCTATGCAACCTGTTCATAGCCCAATCCTCTTAACCCCAATATAAGTCTGGTGTATCTGGTTATAAGATATGGGACAAGAGTAGAAAATTGGGACTAGTGAGCCTTTAGTGGTAGTTATTGTTGGTGCAGATTTGATGGGCTGAAGGGCCTTTCTTGCGCTGTATGACTCTATGACTCTTAAGTCAGTGATTCATGTGTTTTTAGTGGCAATCAGCCTGCAGTCTTAAATTGCCAATAGTGTAACTTTACGTTAGCAATCTGATGTATGAATTACTTCTATAGAAAGCGAAAATTTCACGCTGACTTTCAAATGTTGAAGAGTTTGAATTTAACATGTTGGGATTAAGATTTTTTTAGGAGCTAAGAAACATTTCTATTCTATTTAATCTGAACTCAACCTCGCCTAAAAGTGTTTAATATCCAATACTGACCTTACTTACTTTAGGATTACCACTAAAAATTGACAATATTTTCAATTCAGAAGTAGAATTTGAGATGGATTGGTTATTGTCCTTAATGCTTATGATGATCTATTTCTTTTCAAGGGTGATCCTGGGAAGGATGGCTTTGCAGGTGCTCCAGGAAGAAAGGTTTAAAATAAATATATTTTATATCATTTCATGTACATTTGATTCACTATAAAAGATGCCTGAAACCTCTAAGTGTTGGTGTCTTGAGATGCATATTCCAATTGGGGAAGCGATGGTCTAGTGGTATTATCAGTGGACTGTTAATCCAGAGACTCGGGTAATGTCTGGGTTACGACTGGCATTTCGACAGCAAGTACTGCACAACCATAGAGAAAAGTCTGATTTCTATCCATCTGATATCAGAAACCTCTACCTGCTGATTTACAAGAATGAGTCTAATTCCAACAGCTATACATTATGATATTTGTATTGTTCCATTAGTGCAGGGGGACCCCAACAGCACATTGATTTCCTCCACACACTAAAGCTGGAAACTATTGAAGCAACTAAAGATGGTCAAGATATTCAAGAATTACATTTAGGAGATGGCCTAGTCGTATTATCACTAGACTATTAATCCAGAGACCCAGTTAATGTTCTGAAGACCCAGGTTAAAATCCTACCATTTCATGATGACCATGAATCCATTGCCGATTGTTGGGAAAAACCCATCAGGGTCACTAATGTACTTTAGGGAAGGAAACTGCCACCTTTACCTGGTATGGACTACATGTGACTCTAGACCCACGGCAATGTGATTGACTCTTAACTGCCCTCTGGGCAATTAGTGATGGGTGATAAAAGCCGGTCTAGCCAGTGATGCCCACGTGCCGTGAAAGAACGAAGAAAAATTCCTCCAAGAGGTATGAAGTGAAATTGACGCAACTTAAGTTTCAAATATACTTTCATGCTCATGTTTCAGGCAAAAATGAACAGAACAGTATTAACAAAATATAAACATAATAGATTGTCATGTGAAAAATGTGTGATTTGACAACAGGAATTTATATTTATATAATGCTTGTATTCTAGAAACAAATGCCACATTCAGGAGTATAGTTGGACAAAAGTGAGTGTTAATCCAAGGGGATGGACAGCACATGGCCCGGACAAGGGGGTTTCAGTTTGGGGGCAAGTGAAATGATTGAGTGGCTGGCTCACCATTTTCCCAGCAGCCCCCAATCCTGCTTTCACAATCCTGAGAGTGGGTGGGTAGCAGAGTTGGCAGGCTGCCCACCACTGCTCGATGGGCCCTGATAATATGCTGTCCATGATTAAATACGGCTAGTGTCGAGTAGCAGCGGGTAGACAGTTTCTGAAGGCATATTGGAAGGAAGATGGGAGGCATCTCAATCAAGGAATGTCCTCTGTACATAAGGGATGTTATCCTCCCCACCTTTCCCCAGCCACCCAAGATGGTACCTCACCCTTCCTTCCACAACACCTACCTGAAAAAACCCTGGGAGAGGGTAGTGTAGTGCACTGTAGGGAGAGGGAGGTGTGAGGACGCAAAGGAATTTAAACATAAAAAAAAGAGAATTTTAAGAATTAAATATGAGCTCAGGGGTCAATGTGTATCAACTTGATCAGGGTCAGTGGATAACTTTGGAAACAGCGTGGCAAATGGGCAGAGTCTAGGATGAAGTTTATGCAGGGTGATGAATAGGAGGCTAACTGGAAGAATAGTGGAATGGTCAAGTCAGGAGATGACAATTATATGGGTGAGGTTTCCTCAGAAGTTGGACTGAGGCAGTAGCACAGATAAGACTAAAGGAGGTACATTTTCTGAGGGAGAGAATAATATTGGAAGCTCAAGTTGGAGCTAAAGAGAGTGTTGAGGCTGAAGTCACTCTCTTCATCTTGAGACAGTGACCATGGAGCAGGTGAGGTGAAAGGAAATCTTTTTGTCTTTTAAACAACACGACTACACAACTAAGTACTGACCATTTCGACCTTTATCAATGTCAATTTTCCGGCTATGTATCACATTGACTGATAGTTACCTAGCAACCTCTACCAGCTGTTCCGACATGATTGTGGCTTCAAGCCCCAACTGTTGTGGGGTAACATCTTGTTGTCATATTGGGAAGAACTGGTCCAGTCATGCTCTGTAACTATGCACACCATCAGATTCTCATATACTCCAATAAGCTTTGCTTCAGTAATTCAGTGATAAAGTGATCATCATCTTCATCTAAACTAACTTTTCTTTTGTTTTAAAATTATAAGGATTGCTTTCCCTTCACTAACATAACCACTAATATTTCATCTTATCAATTTTAGGGACAATGTGGACCCAGAGGTTGGCCTGGTACTGATGGCTCTCCAGGGACAAAGGTATTTAGTCAAATAATCACCATGATTAACAAATACCTGTATCAGATCAGCTAATTAAAATAAATCAGATAAATGATTTTACATCTCAATTGTGCATGTTCAATCTTTATTAAACTTATACATATTTTGTAAAAATGATTATATTTCCCTACTGCATTAACTATTGGAAGTGCTATATTGGAATCAGGAAGAAAATAACCAGCAGTTTAGTAAACGATTTAAGTCCTCTATAACATTATTTCGAAGGTCAGTTTTCCAGGGACTGTTTCTTACTGCAGGTGAATGTTTTGACATTTCAGATTTGAGTTTGGATCCAGTTAAAGCTATGGCACGATTGCATCCTATACAGGTCCTGAATTCAATGACCTGAGGCAGATAGAGAATAGGTCAAAGTGCTGTGCACCATTGGAAATCTCATTCAGAGGCATTACGTGCAGATATGGACAATATTCTGCTAGTGTCATAGATGGTTTAGGGTCATAGATGGTTTTTCAGATGTGTTGCTGAAACAATACAGAAACAATTTGCTTAATATGTGCTTGTGGTTGATTTAGTGCTGACAAAAAATGTCCAAAATTGGAGAATGTTTCTATTCTCCAACTCGAATACCAAGTTTCTTATAAAACCTGGCTCCTGGAATTTGAAAATATTAGGGTAAACATTTCAGTGCAATGTCAGTTTTGTTTTTTCTGAATGAACTTTACGGAGAAAGCATGTCATTCCTTTGATGTAATTCATGCTGTGACTTTGTGAAAATGTTGGGAGTGCTTGGGAGTTGAGCCATATATAGGAGGGAAGGCTGTAGACAGAATAATGATATAAACGTGAGGTGAAGGGAAACCTGGCTGCTTTGTTTCTTTTAGGGTGACAGAGGTGACCTAGGACCTGTTGGACCCCCAGGACCCCCGCTAACATCCTGTGACTCTCAAAAAGGTTTGCAAACACCAAGTTGATTGTTCCAATCACTTAGTCCACAGTTGTTCTTAATTTTGAGTGAATATAAACTGTTGCATTAGTCAAAGTAAATGTTTATATTTTAAGTTCTACACCTGTTCTAGCCCCTAGCAACACAAGTTCCAAGATGCCTAGCATTGCTGGGGTGCTACAGCATGAATGACATTCCATAATATCATTCTATAATTTGTTTCCTAATTATTACAGACTCACCCACATTGTATGTACATCTGAAGTTAAATCCTAAAGTGACAGCAAGGAGTTGGATTCTGGTGGAATGGTTTTCTGCCTAATTTTCTTCTGCTTCTTCTCCAGGTTATACCAGTGACTATTCCCTCCCCAACAGCACTGGGGGTGTACCTATAACATATGGACTGACTGCAGCAGTTCAAACAGGGGTGGCTCACTGCCACTTCTCAAAGGAAATTAGGAATGGCAAATAAATTTGGGCCCAGCCAGCAATGTCCACATCAGTGAAAATAGTAAAAATACTTCAACTAAAAAGAAATGTATTCTCATTGTGCTGCTGGTGTACAGTAAAATACTTTTTTTCATGGTTAATTAGGTTATGGAATATTCGTATCTGGTTGTTACCTACACATCCATATGGTATTTCAAAGTTCATTATCTGGAACTCCAGAAAAGGCACACTTTGCATCTCCATCTTCCAGCAATAAAAGATGGTCAGTTCTGATAAAAGAGTTCCATCCAAGGTGGTCATATTTCAAAATAGATATGGGAAAAAGATAAAAGTAAAACTCTAATGCAATGTAGGGCTCAATTTTACCAAAATTCTGCCAAGTCAATTTCAGGGAGGTCTGCTGAGGATTTGTGTCTAAGTTTTTCATACAGTTCTCCACTGCTCATTTTGTTATGTGTAAACCATGTCTCTATGGTCCGTTCACCAGTGGCCAGAAGTATTTGGCACTGCTGAGACTTTCAGGGATTTCTGCCACTGTGACCATACTTAAAGCCCAGCTGTTCACCAGGTCAATCACTACTGGCCAGGAATAAGCCCTCACTGTACATGTTGTGGGAGGGCCACAGAAAAGATCTGCTTCTGAGGACACATCAGTGACATTGTCAAATGTGCACTTCTAATTCCAATGTATTGCCACTTTATACCAACCATCTGATCGATTGTCATTGTAACTACCGCTATAAGAATGCAGCTACACAGGGTGTCCATATTCAGCACCATCCCATTGTTAGAATTCTGTCGAAGTGTGTCCTACTTATTACTTAATGTGCAGCATAACATTTGTCATTGTTCGCTATGGAAACATCACTGTCAGAAACACTTCAAACAGATGAAAATATTAACTTTTACTGAACAACAGATAAAATGAACAGTAGCATTTCCTTGTGGGAGCAAACAAACTGCTTGTTTTTCAAACAGAAACACATTTCCAGACAATAGATGATCACTTTAGTCAGCTCATATCTATTGGAACTGGGTGTCAGTTCATGCTCTCTGGCTTGTATCGCCAACACTGAGCTGCCCCCTCATGCTGAAGGTGATGTTTCCCCTGCACAGTGCTCTCCTGTTCCTCCTCAAACAACTGCTGCTGTTCACCCAGCTCTTCAGCCTCTGTATTGTGCTGTCTTTGATTGCTCCATCACGGCATGTTGGGACAATGTGGCACACTCTGCCCAGACTGTATACCCTTGGAGTTGTTGGTTAAGACCTGCAGTACTGACCTCAGCCCTCTGATATGGAGCCCCTGACTCCAACCACCCCGAGGCGGCCAACTGACCATGTCCAAACCCCTGGAATGAGATGCTGCCCTTGTACATTGTGCTGGTACTCCCTGCTGATGACTGTCTGTTTTGACTTGACTTTACCAAGACTGAGAGAAATGGCCATTTGTTTGAAGCAGATGCCATGTATTTGCTGTGTAAGTTGCTGGCATAATCTGCATGCGTGGCATTGACATAACACTGTGCCATGCGCATGGCCATCCTCTTAAGTGACCACCACAGACAACCAGGCTTTGAGTCTGCACTAAAAGGCAAGGCAAGACAGACATTCTGAGAGCTTGTAAGTTCTGAATAAGGAGGGAAGTGCAAAAAGGCAAGGCAGAGAATGTGTGAGCATTCTATTGGGCTCAAAGTGAGTGAGGACTGGGAGAGCAAGGACAGAGCTCCAAGCTGCACCAGCTTGAATCCATGAGATGGGAGCCAGTCCTTACCAGCAAATGGTTCCAAATATTGAGATTCAAAATGAAAGATGATGAATCCCATGAACAAACTAAAACAAAATGCAATAATATTATTAATATTTCTTTGGGTTCCCCTTAAGTGCATGTCTAAGGTATATAGATCAGGAAGATCTCCAGTTCAGTACTTAGTCTACACTGAGTAAGCTGAGCTCAACCATGGAAGTTGAAGGAATGGATAGTGCAGATGCTGGAAATCTGAAACAACAGAGAATGCTGGAGAAACTCAGCAGGTCTGGCAGTTCTGAAGAAGAGCCACAGGACTCGAAATGTTAACTCTGTTTCTCTCTCCACAGATGCTGCCAGACCTACTGAGTTTCTCCAGCATTCTCTGTGTTTATTGTGGAGGTTGAAGGAGTGCTTCAGTCTTGCTAGAAATTGGCTGTGTAACTTTTATCACATTTCATGGAGGGGTTCTCTGTCTGAGGCCCAGTGAGTTTTCTTGTGCTCTCATTCCAAACTTGCCTCATTACCTACTGACCATGCCCCTGTGACACACACTTGTTGATGCTAGCCTCCCACTAGTCGTAGCTGGAAGTATTTGTCACTGTTGGGGCGTCCTGGGAGTGTGACACCAGTGCCATTGTCTAAAAAGGCTGTTGTGCAGCAGGTCAAGCACTGTCATGGCAAAGAAGGCAAATATAGGAACATGGGAATTAGGAGCGGGAGTAGGCAATTCAGCCCTTCGAGCCCACACTGCCATTTAACACGACCATGGCTGATCTTAGCCTGGTCTCAACTCTACTCTCCTCCCTGCCTCCCACAGCCCTTTATGTTTCTGATGAAAAGCAGGATATCGATTTTTGCCTTGAAGCTGTTGATGGATTCTGCCTCCACTGCACTCTGGCACAGTTAGTTCCACAGATTCGCAATCTTCCAAGAGAAATAGTTTTTTTTTGATTGATTTGATTTGATTTATTATTGTCACATGTACCTAGGTATAGTGAAAAGTTTTGTTTCACATGCTGTACGGGCAGATCATACCATATGAAGTGGCTTAGGGTAATAGAACAGAGTGAGGAATAGAACATACAACATAGAACATAGAACAGTACAGCACAGTACAAGCCCTTCGGCCCATGATGTTGTGCCGAACTTTTACCCTAATCCTAAGGTCTATCTAACCTCCACCCCTAACTTATACTATCATCCATATGCCTATCTAATAGCCGCTTAAATGCCCCTAATGAGGCCGACTCTACGACCGTCTCCGGCAATACGTTCCACGTACCGACCACTCTCTGAGTAAAGAACCTACCTCTGACGTCTCCCCTATATCTACCTCCACTCACTTTAAAACTATGCCCCCTCGTAATAGCTACCTCCACCCGAGGAAAAAGTCTCTGGCTGTCTACTCTATCTATACCTCTGATCATTTTGTACACCTCTATCAAGTCACCTCTCATCCTTCGTCGTTCTAAAGAGAAAAGCCCTAGCTCTCTCAAACTTTCCTCGTAAGACCTTCACTCCATTCCAGGGAACATCCTGGTAAATCTCCTCTGCACCTTTTCCAACACTTCCACATCTTTCCTGTAATGAGGCGACCAGAACTGGACACAATACTCCAGATGTGGCCGAACCAGGCTTTTGTATAGCTGGAGCATAACTTAACGACTGGTGAACTCAATCCCTCTATTAATGAAAGCTAACACACCATATGCCTTCTTAACAACTCTATCCACCTGGGTGGCAGCTTTCAGAGAACTGTGAACATGAACCCCAAGATCCCTCTGCCCCTCACACTGCCAAGAATCTTTCCGTTAACCCTGTATTCTGCTTTCAAGTTTATCCTTCCAAAATGAATCACCTCACACTTTTCAGGGTTAAACTCCATCTGCCACTTCTCAGCCCAGCTCTGCATCCTATCAATGTCCCTTTGTAACCTAGAACAGCCCTCTGCACTGTCCACAACGCGACCCACCTTCGTATCGTCCGCGAACTATCTAATCCACCCCTCCACTCCTTCATCCAAATCATTTGCAAAAATCACAAATAGGAGAGGACCTAGGACAGATCCTTGTGATACACCACTCATAACTGAGCACCGTGTTGAATATTTTCCGTCCACTACCACCCTTTGTCTTCTAAGGGTCAGCCAATTCTGAATCCAATCTGCCACATTTCCCCCTCTTCCATGCCTCCTTACTTTCTGCATGAGCCTACCATGGGGAACCTTATCAAACGCCTTACTTAAATCCATGTATACCACATCCACTGCTCCACTTTCATCCACGTGTTTGGTCACCTCTTCAAAGAATTCAATAAGGTTTGTGAGGCATGATCTACCCCTCACAAATCCATGCTGCCTATCACAAATCAAACTGTGCCTTTCCAAGTGATCATAAATCCTATCTCTCAGAGCCCTTTCCAATAATTTGCCCACCACTGATGTAAGACTAACTGGCCTGTAAATTCCGGGATTATCCCTATTCCCTTTTTTGAACAAGGGAATGATGTTTGCCTCTCTTCAATCTTCCGGCACAATACCCGTGGACAGTGAGGACGAAAAGATCATCGCCAGAGGCCCTGCAATCTCTTCCCTCGCTTCCCATAGAATCCTTGGATAAATCCCATCAGGCCAGGGGGACTTATCTATCTTCAAGTTCCTCAAAATTCCTAGTACATCTTCCTTACTAACATCCATCTCCTGTAGCCTACCAGCCTGTTTCACACTGTCCTCCTCTACAACTAGGTCCCTCTCAATTGTGAATACCGAAGAAAAACATTCATTAAGGACCTCTCCTATCTCTTCAGGCTCCGTGCACAAATTCCCTTTACAATCTTTGATCGGCCCTACCCTTTCTCTGTCATTCTCTTAATCCTCACATACTGTAAAAAGCCTTGGGGTTTTCCTTGATCCTATCTGCCAAGGTTTTCTCATGCCCCCTTATAGCTCTCCTAAGCCCTTTCTTCAGCTCCTTCCTGGATAACTTGTATCCTTTTAGAGCCTTTCCCGTTACTTGTTTCCTAAACATTACATAAGCATCCTTCTTCCTCTTAACCAGTCGTTCAACCTCTCTTGAGAACCAAGGCTCCCTCACTCGACCGCATCTTCCCTGCCTGCTAGGGACAAACATATTGAGCACACGCAGTATGCATTTCTTAAACAATCTCCACATTTCAATAGTGCTCTTCCCTGACAGCATCTGTTCTCAATTTATGTTACCCAGTTCTTGCCTAACAGAATTGTAATTACCCTTCCCCCAATTATAAACC